GCGCCAAAAAATAAAATATCTCTTGTTCTCTTACGCGACGAAACGTCTTTCCGTCGCGCTAAATGAGGGGACTGTCCTTTTTGCGCGACGGAGAATTTGTTCGTCGCGCAATGTTGCCTTTAGCGATGATATTTCTCGTCGCGCAAATGTTTCGCGCTAAAAAAATTCCCCCCGCTTTTTTTAACTCTGTTTGCGCGATGAAAAATTGTTTTGTCGCGCATATACATTTTGCGCGACAAAAAAGTTTGGTGGCGCAAATTTTCCGTGGATTGCGCGACGAATAGTTGTTTTCGTCGTGCAAGTATGGTTTGCGCGACGAGTTGTTCTTCGTCGCGCAATATTTCGTCGCGCTAATAGTGAAACGTAGTAGTGCTTATATTTCTAACTAAGGGCACGTTTGATAACCATTTCAGTTTTTAGTATTTAGTTTTCAATTTTTAAGTTTCATTTTTCATTTTCCTTATCCCTTTCAATTTTCAATTTTCAGATTTTGCCTTAACCCTAACCTCATCTTTCCTCTTTCTGCCCACTACTAAAAAAAAACCCTTGAGCGACCAAAAACTATTTGTCGCTCAATGTCACTTTGCGCGACGAAACTAAAAAATTTGTCGCTCAAGGTCTTGCGCGACCAAACTTTGCGCGACAAACTTTTGCGCGATGACTATACTTCATCGCTCAAAGTACTGCGTGACGAAGAACAATTTGTCACTCAAAGTCACTTTGTGCGACAAACTTTTGTGTGACGACAATACTCCATCGCTCAAAGTCTTGGGCGACCAAACTTTGCGCGATGAAAAACAATGTCACACAAAGTGACTTTGCGCGACGACAATTCATCGTTGCTGAAAGTGACTTTGCACGACGAAACAATAAATTTCGTTGCACAAAGTCTTTAGCGACGAAATGTTGAGTCGAGCAAAGTTTTTACAAAAAAAAAAATATATATATATATATATTTTAAAATCTTTGTGTGACATAATCCAAATATTTCATCGCCTAACCAATTTATTTTTGTTTTTTTTTATTTTGTATGCATTAAGTAGTTTTAAATTTATTATTTTAGTTTGCATAGGATTTTTGTTAGAAAAATATATTATTGTAGTTCAGATTAGGCTTTTGTTAGAAAATATATATTTTAAATTGATGATCGAATTAGTTCATTGTATTCATATAGGGTCAAGGAGTGTAGTTGTAAAAAATCATCAAAATCGAAGTTAACATAACCGTTTAATCGTGATTTTTCATTCATAACCGTCGAAAAGTTTTGTCCAATTACTTGAAGTCTGAATGTTTATTTTTTTCGATTTTTGGTGTATATGATCTCGAAGTATGAACAAACAAGTTTGACAGTTGGATCATTGAAACTAGTTTTGTAGAATGCGTATGCCATCAAAACAATATATTCACTAACAATTAAGAGTTTATTTGTACTTTCGTTAAATATAACATAAGATTTAGTGTAAATATTTTAATTGGAGATCAAATTCAGTCATTGTATTCATATAGGGTCAAGGAGTGCAGCTGTAAAAAATCATCAAAATCGGAGTTAAAATAACTGTTAAATTGTGATTTTTCATTTATAACCATCGAAAAGTTTTGTCCCGTTACTAGATCTCTGAATGTTTGTTTTTTGCGATTTTGGGGGTATACGATCTTGAAGTATATACAAACAAGTCAGACGGTTGGATCGTTGAATGGTGCGTGTGTATATATATATATATATATTTATTTACTGAGTAGCTTTAAATTTATTTATTTTGTAAGTATAACACTTAAGAAATTGAATAGTATATATATATTTATTAAGTAGCTTTAACCTTATTTATATTTTAAATCGTAAATAAAATTATTTTCATTGCGCAAAACTCTAAAAATTTGGGCGGGTGCCAAAAATGGGATGCGAGATTTAAAAAAAAAAGAAAAACATTTTAGACTTTGTCCGACTAATATATATTTTTCGTCGAGCAAAAATTTGGACGGGTACCAAAAATGGGACGCGAGAATTTGTTTAGACTTTGCGCGACCAATATGTATTTTTCGTCGCGCAAAAATTTAAAATATTGGGCGGGTACCAAAAATGAGACGCGGTAATTTTTTTTTAAAAAATAATTTTTTTAGACTTTGCGTGACCAATATTTTTCGTCGCTCAAAACTTTGCGCGACCAATATTCCAATATTTTTCCTCACACAAAACTTTGAGCGACCAACAATATTTTTTGTCGCGCAAAGTGATATGGTTTTTAAAACCAAAATAACTCATCCACTGTATTTCTCTACTCTTACCTCTTCTCTCTCTTTCCTTCTCCCCAAATCCCACCCTTTGTCTCCCACTCACTCCTCTCACTTAATCTCTCATCTCTCTCTTCACTATCTCTCACTCTCACTCTTCACTATCTCTCACTCTCACTCACTCTCTCATCTCTTTTTTTGCTATCTCTCCCTCTCACTCACTCTCTCATCTCTCTCTCACTATCTTCTCTAATTCTCTCACACTCACTTCTCCCTCTCATTCTCACTCTCTCAATCTTGCCAAAATGTATATGCCCTCCAAATTTTAATTTTTTTTCATTAATATGTGTTTTTGGAATTAGTTTTGAGTTTGTGTGGGGTTTGGGGTTGAGTATACGGTAAGGATTGGAGTTTGGATTGGATTTATAGTATAACAATTTTAGGGAAGATTATGCCAATTTTTTTATTTATTTAAATTTTTTTGTTATTTGACCATATATAGTTTTTTTTGGGTAGGGAATCATCGAGACTTTGACGGCTAAAGTTGAGGATTAGGAAGCTATCAAAACATATCCTCCGGCACTACCACCACAATAGGCTTGTATTAGGATTTTATTATTGTACTTTGTTAATTTATGTGTACATTTT